ACCCTCCGAACTATTGCGATAGTACGAATTAGCCCCATAAACTACAAAACTAGACATTTGACACCCCTAATTCATCAAACTGGACGAATTGCCCCCTAATCACTGTTTTGGGCTAGATTTGCTGACATGGGCATTTCCAGTGTGGCAAGAAAAATAAATAAATAAAATAGTGGGCCCACTGGTCAGTACCCATTTCATCATCCTCTACATGATGTAGGACTCACTCTCGCTGACAGATCATGTCGCCCGAAGAACCCTCTCCCTGTTGCTCAACCGATTGGCTCAATTGCTCCTCTGCCACCTCGCCCTCCGCTACTCCATCACCATCCCACCCTGTGCTCCTCGTTCGTACCAATGGATCCATGCAATTCCTCGACCTAATCTACGTATAAGTCTAGGAGCTCACTGCCAGACCGCACCGCTCCAATCCCCTGCTCGATGCGCCGGTCGAGGAGAGGACGGTGGTGGAGGAGAGAGGTCGCCGCTATATCATTCTCACACAAAGCTCATGGATCCATGACGACCTTGTTGCTAAAGCTTGTTGTGCGAGAGCTAGAAGAAGAGGGAGCCAGGCAGACTGCGTGCAATGACAAGCGGTTCCCTCAAGCTTGCTTTGGACAGAGCTTATGGTGCCCGCAAGGTCGGGGAAGAGCCGGTGGAGCAAGCTCGTGTAGGAGATAGAGCTCGCTTTGGGAGGATTGGATCAGGATTGTTGTGATCTCGCCACCACCATCCGCTGCCACCCTTCTACCTCGACATCGTCCGTCGCCTCGTGCACACTCGGCTCGCACCCACTGCAAGTCCCTCCTCGGTACCGCCATCGGGGAAGAAATTAAAAGAAGTTGAGGGGTCCTGCCTTCACCCATGAGCCACCTCATGTTCCGCTTCCTCCCTATATTTCCCCTCACCCCTCGATGACGAGCGTATGCGGCAAGAAAGCAACAATGTGGTCGCATGCTGTTGTGCCGAGGATGAGGAAGCGGAGGAGGTTTGCTACGGAGGCGGTGCTCGGGGTGGTGCGGAGGCTCGCAGGGCTCCTCACCACGCACGTGGTGGTCCGATCCATAGTCCCCACCATCTATTGGTGAGCTCACGTCCTTCCATCGCTTGCTCTAGCAAAGCTCCACCATTACCGTTAGCGTGGATCTGGGGCAACATCCTCCACGAAAGAGGATGGAGACTGCCGCCATCGCCAACTCCATGGAGGGGGACCACTGGCTGAAGGATGGAGGCCGTCGCTGTCGCCAACCTATGGAGGGAATCAATCCGCTGTCCCCCTGCCTGGTCCATTCGGAGGAAGAGAAAGATAATATTGAAGGGGAAGAAAGCAGAAAAAAGAGAAGATAGAAGAGAAGTAGCTGACAGGTGGAGCCTGCTTATTATGATAACTTTTTTGGCTGACTAGACCACCATGTGTGCACCACATAGGATTAAAACCGCTCCGAAATAGTTCGGGGGAGGGAGGGTTAATTCGTCTGGTTTGATGAATTGGGTATATCAAATGTCTGGTTTTATATTTTAGGGGGGTAATTCGTATGTCACAATTGTTCATGGGGGTATTTTGGAATCTTTGCTGTAATTTCCATTCATGTTCTAGTAGTAGTACTTGTTAGCAAGTTTATTTTATTCAAGGGAATAGTTATTTACAATATTGAGTCCATTATTTTCTATATTGTGCATACACTATTTGATGTGTAAATTCAATATTTTTTTCATGTCGCACATGTAAATACTTTTTATAACTTAAATTTATAGTTTATGTAGACCTTGGTTTCACAAGGGACATATGTGACTTCTCATTAATGTGAGCGCCCACCCAGGGTTTACCTTGGTATGAGGGGTTACCATACCTCGACGGTAAGCCTGCTAACTGTGGTAACCGTAGATGGCGCTATTCACTGAACAATGGGAATATCAGATGAAATTTACCTAAAATTCAAAAAAAATATATTTAAATTTCATTTCAACTTGGTCCTTACTGCTAATGTATACCGGATTAGTGGCCCTAATGTAGGCCCAACAGTAAGTTTGGTTACTGCATTAACCAGTGATAAGGCAAACCCTCAACCCTGTGCCTCTAGCTTGTATAGAAGGAAAACCTCCAATTAGGAATAATAGTATAAAGAAGCTATTTAAATGTTTCCACAATGGACATGGTGATCAATCGCATCGTATAAGGGAAACTTTGGGTTGTAGCGAAGCTTAATTCCCTTGGAGTTCTTCTTGGCTTTCACAAGCTATTTCTCCTTTTCCCTTGTTGCTTTTTGAGGCCCGGTTGCTTTTCGTAGATTGCGTAGTGTTCTCTCCTCCCTCTCCCCCGTAACCCCTTTAGCGGGTCACAGTTATAAAATTTATTTATTTCCTGCTAATATATCAACACGTAAGTCTTTTACGTGATAAAAAAAAAGAATGATGTATGAAAACTTGAAAATTTTCTTGCGTAATAGTGCGTTTCTCATAACAGGGAACAAGTACATCCAGTCAACAGATACTCTGTAAAGTACAAGAGTTTGATTGTAATGAAAGATTATCATATATATATATATATATATATATATATATATATATATATATATATATATATATATATAGTAAATTTGTTTGGTGCTCCATGGTGCCCGGGCACCATTGTTGAAATTGAGTATATACCCAATTCAAATGAGTATGAAACTTTTTCAATTACCTAGGTATTAACATTAACTACTTTACTAACTAGTTTAAAGCAAGTTTGAACTGAATTTGAACTTGTTTTTGTTAGATTTTGATTCTAGGTATATAGCATCCATACATATAATTAGTTAGGTATGTAATCATGTATTGTGAAATAAAGTTAAATTTGAGTTGTTTTGTTGATAAGTATAGGTATGAATCAAATTATTATAACTAGGTATATACTCACAATTTGAAAATTTTAAAAAATTTGAGTGATTTTGTGCATTAGATACCATGGTGCCCGGGCACCATGGTGCCCCATATGAGTGTCCCATGGTGCTCATATATATATATTGTATGTGTGCTCTATTTCTCCGTCATAGTGTACTCTCTCTATTGGAAGCTGTCACTTGATGTCGGTCTTCAGCGGTGAGAGGAGAGAGGGGATGGGTAGTGGAGCCTCTCGCCATTGAGAGGACAAAGATGGATGCTGGTCACTAACATATGGACACGTGGGTCCCACTATGTTTCTATTTCTTTTTTATTGTAATGACACATAAGCATCATATAACTTGTCACGTTGGACAAACACTAGTACGAAATGCCATGTAGGAGTCATATCAGCCGAAACAGTCCACGACATTGCTTCGAGACTATATTTGCATTAGTTTTAGAAGTTGGGGATGCAATATTTCTGGTTTTGTAGTTGAGGTATTGAAATTTATCAACCTCTATATGAGGGATGTAAAGTGGACTTACTCCTTGCCTTGTTCATGTTGTTTGGGCTATACATAGAGTTTTGAGTTTGGGCCACAAGATCAAATCTACCCATTACAGTTGCCCCTTCAAACTTTTTCTTTGTTCCAATCCACCAAACCAAGGCCCACAAAGTACTCAACCGGTCCACTTTAATTTCTTGTGCCTGCAAAGTACAGTTGTTTTTATTTACTAGCATCTTGCCTTTGCCAAATAACATTATGGTATATTAACACCTTCATAATCCCAAATCACTATAATCGAGTGTAATTTGATAGGTTACCAAATTTATAGGTGTCAAGTCCAATTTGATAGATTACCACGGGATTTGATGGTTGTAGTCTTATGGTTATTCACTTTTGGGATTAGGCTTTTCAAGTCTACCTAAGCCTGTGTTTTGTTTGGGATGAGGTGGGACTGGATCGACTTATCCCTGTTTTTTCGGATAGGATGATCCCATTATCTGTTTGGTTTGAGCGATACAGTGGTCCTGGTTTTCTAAAAGATGGAAGGGTGTGGCCCACATATTAGTGAAAAAGAGAAAGTTTGTTGGATTGATCCGTCACTTTTTGAGGTGTGAAGCTAATCTGGATCTTTGGGGACTATTCCCTTTCGGGGGCTATCTCATCACACCCAAACACTTAAAAATAGGTTCGATCTAACCCGACCCACCCCATCCATTGAACCAAACACATGCTAAGAGTTTATGGGACACTCACTGAATAAGCGAAGCCGTCTCTTCTGATCAGTTCTAATCAAACAAGAATTATAGTGCAGCTGAACGATTAATCCTGTATGTATATGCGGCTATATATGTACATGCGGGACGATGAAGCAAGTTCTCCTGGTGTAACACGATCTAGTGTAAATTTAGTCTGATATATATAAAATCATGATCATAACCGATATGTCGTTGACTCAGGGATGACGCACGCATGATGCAAGAGTGACGGACAAAGAGGCTGTTTGGATGCTATACTAAGTTTGCCACCATTCACCATACTATTTGTGCCACACTTGCCTAAGTTGTGGCTTACAAAAAGTGAGCCACATCTTAGCTAGCAAAATTGGATTGTGCCACACTTTGTTGAGTTAATGACATGTGGGGCCCAAATAGATGAGAAGGAATCTTGCCACAAGTGTGGCTATGAACCAAACAATATGCTAACTTGGTCAAACTTGCATAACATGAGGTGTGGTAACCTTTGGCAAACTTTGAGAGCAAACCAAACAACCCCAAAGACTTTACGATAAAAAAATTATCAATCTTTGAAGTAGTTAGGATTTACGAACTAATACCCTTATATTATCATAATTACATGACATTTCTTAATTTCATGGAAAAATCTAATATATTATTAGAGTGATTTAAGTGCCCCATGAGGATCAATCAAATCTAATGCAAAGCCATGTATAAAATCAAATTAGGGTATGCATTCCCTATAAAAAGGAATAATAACACATTTCATGGGAATATATTATTATTATTATAGATAATATATAATATATTTTCTCTTGTCGGTAGATAAGCACACGCATTCAGCTAGTTTCACTAGAACAGATTTGATTTTTTCCATACGGCTCAAATCGATTTTTGCATGCGGACGGGTAGCCCACAATGCGCCCAAAGGTATATGAAAATCGGGATTTTCATATGCGGCCAGTGCAACCAGCGCTGAAAACGACAACATGCGAAAAGGAAAAATCATGAAAAAAAATTAAAATTCCAAAACTGAAAATTACACAAAAAATGCTAACCCTAGACTTGTCGCCGCCGTCGCCACATCCTCCGATCCTCGTCCTTTAGTCGACCGCCGCCATCCTCATCCTCCAGTCGCCGTCGTCGTTGGTATCATCCTCTCGTTGCCGCTGTTGTCGTCTTCCTCCTCTTCCCGTTGTTGCCGCCATCATCTTCCTCCTCCCGTTGTCACCGCCGACGGATCCACGTGGGAGGGCAGCCGCCGCCGAATTGGGACGAGGGAGGGCTGCGACCGATGGATCCAGGCGAGGGAGGGCCGCCGCTGCTGGATCTGGGTAGTGGAGCGCTCCCGCTGTCAGGCACGCTCGCCCCCGCCGTGGCCATCTCCCACCGCCACCGCTGCCGCCGAAGTCCGCGCATGCTGCCCTCTCCCTCTACCGCCACCCTCGGTCGCCACCGCCATCGCCGGAGCCTGCCGTCGGAGTGAGGAAGGAGGGGGGATAGGAGTGGGGGGATGTGGGAGAGGAGTGGGGGCTGGGAGAGTGAGGGCTACCGGATCCACGCAGGGCGGTGCCACCTGCTCCCAGCCGCCTCATCGGTAGCGTTGCCCACTCCTAGTCGGTGAGGAGAGGAGAGAAAGAGAGAGAGAGGATAGGAAGAGACATAAGGAGAGGAGAAGAAGAGAGAGAGGAGAGGTGGTGGAAAATTTTGAAGTGTTGAGAAGGAAAAGAGAGGAGAGGAGAAAATATCTATGAAGAAGATGAGGGTATTTTCGCATGCGGTACAGTTAAGAGGCCCACGTGCGAAAATATATTTTTGCATGTGACCCGTTAAGATGATCGCAAGGGAAAATAAGCTCACTTTTGCATACGGCTTCTTCTGTGGTATACCCGTAAAAATCGATTTTTGTATACGGACCTCTTAAGGAGCCATATACGAAAATGGAGATGCAACCAGTTACGGTCCGGTTGCAACCTATAGGGATTCTCGTACAGAAAAATTCTTTTTTTAAGTAGTGTTTGAGGTAGAATTCCTAAGCCCCGACAAACAATGTTCAGTATAATCTATTTTTTATTTATTATATGCGTGTCACAGCAATTATTTCCACATGTTCATGAACTTCAAACAGGAAGACAAATATCGTACACATACCTTTTTGTTCATGCATGCTTTAGCACCTTCCTGAGCACATCGAATGCAGCAGTACGGCACCTTCTTGATTGATGGGAATCTATTAGTTGCTGAATTCTTCCCAAGAGACCAATATTATGATTAGGAACCAAAGACTCATTGCTCATCGAAGTACTCGAATAATTACGGAGCTGTCCACCATGGAGTCGTAGAGACTTGTCATCTGCTGCTGTGGATAGAGACTGGGCCTCTACTGGTAATCTCCTGTAGCGGAAAAAACCTCTCCTCTTTAATGATGGTTCAGATCCTGTAAGTCTTATTTTTCTCATAGCCTGTCCAATAATTCAATACAGATTAGGCGTTGTGAAACACAATATTGTTTTCTCTAGTTACTTTTGAGTGATTTTAATAAGTGTAATAGCTGACTGCCGTGCTTAAGCGACCTGACAAGCAGCTGAACCAGGGTAAGCAGAATGGCAGAAACAGAGCAACCAGGAGGTGGCTATTCTGCATGTTTTTTCCTTTCGTTTTTGTTCTATTTATCCCTTTCCTTTGGTCAAGAGCATAACTCATTCATTATAATCCAACTGTAACATGACTAATCATACTGAGTTCTATTATCTAACATCTTACCTAGGTTATCATCGAGAGAAAATTCAATCTGTAGCACAGAAATAAGGCCGGTAAAAAAAAAGCACAAATAATTTCCGCTTCCAACTGATAGGACAGAACGCTCATTTACCCTTAGTCCTCTCCGTATTCACACGTTAGGCTGAACCATTCCTGATCTTCATCACTCGTTCAGTCATGGGAGCAGGCGAGGGCAGTGGCTGGCGGAAAAAGGGCAACAGCACTCAGTCGACGGTTAGCGGCTTGCGCTATGGCACACGGGATCAAGGAATTTGACGACAACGGCGGAGCTTTCTCCGCCGCAACGTCGACGGCAACTGGCGGCTCCTTCCCATCCCTAAACCTCGTGATGATAAACTACCCCCTCTGTCCCATAGAAACCAACCTAATACTGGATGTGACACATTTTAATACTATAAGTCTACATATACCCGTCCTAGATTCGTTTTTTTGGACGGAGGGAGTAGTTTGTTGTGTCGTCTTCAATCATTGATTTGCAAAATTAAGCTCCAAAGGACACCAATAATTTGCACTGCGGAGCACAACTGCATTCTTAACATCTCTTTCTCCATCTCCTCACTCAATTCCTGCTTTGTGTGGTGAGCACTTGGCCCTTCCACTGAATTTCTCCTAGGGAGAGAGAAACAGGGAACTGTTGCGCATCGGCGATAAACTGCGCGTCTCCGTTGTTCTCCATCTTTGTTCTAGGGTTAGTTAGAGATGTGGGGAAAACAATTTGAAGATATGCTAGAGACCTCCGTTAGGTCTAGATGAGAAAGAAATGCTATTGATAGAAGGAAAACGTATGGCTTATGCTACCAGTTGAAAATGGAAACTTTTTGTCCTATTTTTTTTGGTACCGGTCTTATTTCTGTGATATAGACTGAATTTTCTCAATGATTAAACATCCAAGCAGAACCACTGCACTCACAAGACTACATACGCACAGATAAATGAGGAAAAAATCAATCTAAACACAAAATACTTAAAGCAAAGCATTTGAGCCCTTAGCTGATCAACTATTTTCAAATTTGTTGACAGTACTATGATCTAGATAGATGGATTGGTGGGTGACCCCTAAACATACAGTTTCCAAACCTTTATAATATAATTCTGACAAAACATGTGACTATTGCAAAGGTAAAAATAAAAGGTTTGGAGCATATAAAATTTAGAAGAACTTTGCATGGTGACAAACTCAGAGATTGGGACAGAATCAAAATTAGTTGGGATAGTCTGAATTTGCAGGATGGTTGTGAAGACAAAATCTGGTGGAATTTGACAAAAGATGGTGTTTTTTCTGTGAAATCTTTTTATAGAGCTCTTAAAATGCAACAGGTATGCTTTCCCTAGAAAATTTTTTTGAAGTTTAAAGTTCCTTTGAAAATCAGAATTTTTGTTTGGCTGTTTGTTAAAAACATAATACTCACAGAAGAAAATTTGTATAAAAGAGGTTGGAGAAAACTTGATAAAAAAAAGGCCAATTCTGTGACAAAGAAGAGGATGTTCAGCATCTGTTTTTTATTGTCCAATGGCCAAACTTCTTTGGAATATTATGAGCTGTGCTTTGAATGTAACTCCCATTTTGAGTTACCAAGAACTTTTTGGTCATTGGCTTACTGGTTATGATAAAAACATGAAACAATTGATTGTGGTGGGTCTAGCTGCAATTATTTGGACTATATGGAAATTTAGAAACAAAGCATGTTTTGAGAATAACTTTTCAAAAGATCCCACTGATTTGGTCTTTGTGGCTTATTCCTGGGTGGACTCTTGGACATCTCTGCAGAAGCTGGAAGCAAACCGAAGAAGACTGCAATTGGCGGCCATGCTCATAAGACAAGTTGCAAGTGAAATTTTCGGTTCAAGATATGGATGGAGAGAACCAGAAGGACTGAAGGCTGAAAAAGTTGCTCCATAAACTTATGATGTCTGTAGTATACCTCCTTTGCTGAAGATAGCTGTTGCTCCAAGCCTTTTCACTACTAAAAAAGGATTTTTCCATGCGGTCCCAAAGGGGTTTTTGCATGCAGTTAGCCCCTCCGCACGAATCAAAGGGTCTGGAAAAATTGCTATTTTTACATGCGGGTGGCGCACGCAAAAATAGAAAACAAAAAAAATAAAATCGAAAAACCGAAACCCTAACACTAGAAGCTGTCGCCACCACCCTCCTCATGATCGCTATCGTCGCCGTTGCACTCCTCGTGGTCACTGTCGTCGTGGCCGTCGCCGGATCCATCGCCCCCACACATCCCCAGCGCCGGATGCCGCCGCTACGCCTTCCCACCGTCCGAGCCCGCTCCTGCCTACCGCCAGATCCAAGCGGGGGGCAACCGCCTCCGCCAGATCTGGGCCGGGGCCAGGGGCCGGTCGCCGTCGCCCCTCACCGCCTTCCATCATCGCGCGCACGCCGGCCACCGCTCCTGAGCTGCCTCCGCCGTGACCGGCTGCTGCCGCTGCTCCCGAACCGCCTTCGCTAGAGCCAGAGGAGGCAAAGAGGCTGGAGCCGGAGGAGGAGGAGAAGGAGGCAGTGCCGGCGCCGGCACCGTGGTCCTTCACCGGGAGAATGAGAGGAGGAGAGGGAGTGAGGAGAAGATAAGGGGGAGAGAGAGAGAGGAGAAGAGGAAGTTAATTTTTTTTTGAATAGGTTGAGAGGGAAAGAGGAGGATTGGACTTGCAGGTGGGCCCGCATGCGAAAATAGATTTTTCCGTGCGGGTCTCTTAAGTGGCCCGCCTGCGAAAATATATTATTTTCTTGTGCGAACCTGTTAAGAGGACCGCCTGCGAAAATTGATTTTTGTGTGCGGCTCTCTTAAGGAGCCGTATGCGAAAATGGAGGTTGATTTTTACAGACGCGGTCAGTTATAGTCCGTCTAGAACCTAACGAGGGTCTCGTCCAGAAAAATCATTTTTTTACAGTGTTTGCTGTAATTTTGCCTATAAACTCTGCTTGGCGATATGCCTGGTCTTTAATAGGCCTAGTCTTTTGCTGTTGTTATCTGAACAAAACTCTGTAAGATGATGCTCATTTCTAGTAAGAGAAATGGGGCTGCAAAGCCCTAGTTCAAAAAATAAAAAAAAACGCCGAGCAACCATGACTTACCAGGGATAGAGAACAGACCAGACAGGAGAATGACTTTCTACTTTTCTAGATGGTAACTAATAGTTATAACTTGGAGCCTAAGAAATTAATTATCATTATCTGCTGCTACTCTCTGCATGCTATGCTACAATGTATACCATATGGCCCTGTTCTTTTATCCAAATAAACTTTTGGATACTCGTGGCACGTTTTTCAAACTGCTAAATGGTACGTTTCGTGCGAAAATTTTCTATGTAAAAGTTGTTCTAAAATATCATATTAATCCCTTTTTCATGTTTGTAATAATTAAAACTCAATTAATCACATGTTATTACCACCTCGTTTTACGTGAAACACTTAATCTATATCTTTATCGAGATTCAAACACCACCCATATATACACAACACAGTAATTAATAAGGCATTATGAAAACTAACAATGTGAATATAAAATCTCATTGGTAACATCTGAATACAATTACCTTTTTCTCTGCAGCATTCGGAGAAGACGTTTGTTCAACTGGCTTGGTTTGACCTAAGGTCCATTAAAAAAATAAGGGTTCATTCTAAGAAACTCAAAAACAGTTACTTAAATAATAAACACACACCTTCCTGAAATACGACGCTGTAAAAATTATCCAGGTTATAAGGAGACCTTCAAGAACAAGTTGAAGAAATAGTTAATTATCAACAAACCAAATATCCATTTGCATACTAAACATTACTAACATTGAATACAGAGGTGATATCAGTACAGGTTCATGGTGTCAATGTACTCTTCCTTGGGGCAAAACCCAAATTCCTTGAGAATAGATGAGACATGCGCAAGGACCTCCACGTGGGACACCTGGATCACATTTAAACCGTTGTATCAGATAGATAAAAAGGAAAAGAAAGAAGAAATGATTTAGAGAAAATTTAATTATACTAGTTGAAATGAAAGGAAGTTGCAATCACATTGAATTCAAGCATACATGTTTTCATAAAGTTTGTAAACAAACATATTCAAAATTGCCTTAACTATGGCCATGTTTAGTTCCAAAATAATCCTTCAAACTTCCAACTTTTCCGTCACATCATTCTAATTTCAACCAAACTTCCAATTTTGGTAACTAAACACAGCCTATTTGTCTTGCTTTACGTACAGGATTAGAAACCAAAGAATACAAGTAGATGGTCCAGAAGGTAGGCACAGGCAGTCTTTTAGTCATTCAAATATCAACTTTGTAACTATAATTAAATTTATAAAAAAGGTATAAGTCCATTTTGTAGCACTTGAACTTTGCTTGCAGTCCATTTTTCACCCTAAACTGGTTTTCTTCACCCCCCCCCCCCCCCAAACTTACGAAACTGGATCACAAATCTCACACCAAAAATATAACACGGTAACATGATAGTGGTTTCTCGCCAACCTGAACTTCAATTCGATATGTTATTTATTGCACGATCAACATCTGCTAATGAGTAAACAAAATATATAAAACTGTGTACACAGAGTTGCTCTGTATACAAGGCTTTGCTGTGCTTACCACTAAAATTATAGAGGCTTGTTGCGTTTATAATATTTGGTTATTCTATTAATATATAAAAGTGACATTTTTTATACATATAGTTTATGAACGTTTCTGTCAATAATGTTAATCAGTTTTAATGTAATAATACTTCCATACTCTAACTCACAAGCACAAAAAGTTTAGTCAAAAAGAAAAAACAAGCACAAAAAGTTCATACAAAGGCACAACAATCTTATTTTACTATGTGGGTCTTGGCGTTCATGATTCAACTACAGAACTCAGATATTGGAATGCATATCACCATCTGAAAGGAATACCTTAAAACTGTTGTTTAGGAAGGCTGAGCTTCCTCCAAAACCTGGTTTTCAAAGAAGCTAGTATGAATTAACAGGCTGAATCAAACAGGGCCAATTGTACGGGATAGGGTACCACAGGGTTGGTTGGAGAAAATTTCACAGGGATTACTTGTCAAATGGTGTGCCCAAAATAATGTATCTAAATATCTAATCTCATCACTAATTCAGTCCTATCTCAAATCAACAAGAGGATTACTAATCTAAGCTAATCTATTTCAAGGATATAGCCAGTTAGCCACTACTACTGGAAATTACCCCAATAAGGTGCAGAGGGTTTCAGCTTCTCAAAGCAGTGGAGCCTCCTACATCATAAGCTTCATACGAAAGCTCAAGATGCCACCAATTTTGAGGAAGCTTACTCTTGTGATAGTTTTAACATGATATTGAGAAGATTGACAGAACAGGACCGATCGTTCACCACTTCTGGGGAAGCTTAATCTTGTGAATGGTTTTTACATGATATTGAAGAGTTGAAGACAGAAATGAGGACTGACCGTTCACTTACACGCTGGATATGCTACCCCATGCACACTATAGTAGTACAAATAATGAAAAGTGGCCATGGAAATCAACAAATCACTAGTATTCTTCTTGCTCATATTAGGGAACAATGGAATTTTGGAAGTAACTAGTGAAAATACTAATGCCAATATAAAATTTACTGTAAGAGGAAGAAATCTGATGGCACTGAATCCAACAATAGTGGTACCTCTGAATGTGTCTGAACGTAATCATAAAGAGCCTCGCCAGCTTGCGAAATTATATTATAAAGCAGACATTGGCAATTCAAAAGTGCTTTTCTTTCCTCCAACTGCTTATGTGCCTCTCCATTACCTTTGTCAGACGTTAGGGAATCATAGTCTCCAAATATGCGTTGCGCGATGATAGAAAACCCATTAGGTTTGCCCTTGCGAAAATGTTTTTGGGCTGCCAGGAATAAAACTGTGGCCTGTGCAAGCTTGCCGTTCTTCATGTAATTCCAGAGCTCATCGACTACATTATCTGTTTTTTGGGCAAGCAGTCTAATCACCTCCAAGGAAACTATCTGCACAATAATAAGTGACTTTCAGAATTTGTATGCAGGCAAGCAGCTTGGAATAACTTCATGTTACATCTTATTTCCTCTAATCATATATAGTAAGCATGAAGTAGGACGAACCTCCTAGGCTAGCTCCAAGCAGGATAAAATCTAGTAGTATTTACCTAAGTTAACTTATTGTCTATAAATTTCAAACAAGAACATGCCTTAGCACATGTCAAAATTTCAAAAGATGACACGGAAAAACTTCCTTTTGTCATGCTGAAAAGATAGTATACTTTGGGAAGATCGAGAGATAAGTGAATCAAAACAAACCATATCAGGTAGGCACAGCAGATGAACGAGCCTGTAGACGCAATCCTCACGATACTGCATAGGAGACACATTGTCCACAAGACACTTATGCAAGCAAGTATTCTCAACTGCAACATGGAGCGGCAGTAGCCGTCCCTGATCAACGCCGGTCGTACCATCATCAGCGAGTGTTCTTACGTTTGCTGAAGCTCCGTGCCTGAAGAGCAACCTGATCATCCGAGGCGAACACCGTTCTGCAGCCTCATGGAGAGGGAAGCATCCATACGGGCTCATGCAGTTTGGATTGGCGTGCATCGAGCCGAGGCCAGGTGCCTTGCCCTCCAACACGGCTTTCATGCATCGCAAGGCATTGTACCTGATCATGAAGGTTAAGGTTTCTGAGGTGATGGTGAACCTGTATGCGAAGGTTGAAGGAGATTCCAAGAACATGTTTAGGAAGCACTGGACGCTGTCCTCTGCCATGACATTGCTCAAGCTGCGAGATATTTCAGAGAAGGCATCTCGCACCCTCTACAATATTGGGTCCATCGGCAATTAAATTAAGAGAGGTGAAAAGTGGTCAGTTTAATTTCCATGTAATTAAGAAATCAAAACATAATAAAGTATCATTGACATGCACTTTTTGAAACAGAACATTTTGTAAAGCTCTTTAAGAAAACAGAAGAGACGATTTGGGTGAAATAAAATGCGGCAGGATTGGGAAAAAAAAACATAACAGGATGATTTGGCAACTGAAATCTGTAAATGAAGATTAGAGAAAAACCTCAGGAGTAGGGTCTGGGATAATTATATCATTTGGCATGGACTTGGCGACCCAAGCAGCTCTTAGATTCAGCCACTGGAAGAGAGAATGTCAAGAAACAGGTAAGTAATTAAGGGAAGACAGAAACCGAGAGGAGGATCGTAAAGATGGGCCACCATACCTCATAGGACTTTTTTCTATCATATTTCTCAAGAACTAGAAAAGGACAGGAAGGATCCATGTTATCTACGGTTGCTCCTTCTTTGCCCATATTTTCGCGCAAACTTGCTGGCAGTACATGATTGGGAAATCTCACCACTATTTGCTTGTCTGAAACAAAGAGGATTGAGTTTCATTCAAAAGAATATTATAATTTTGTATTGTTAGCAACATAATGTAAGGCATACATACAAAATAGTAAAATGTGATCCTTATTACGACCACGAAGACAAAATAAATGATGTCTAGACGACCCGCAGAGTGGCACTTTCGCTAGCAATTTCTATGAAAACACGAGATTTGAAATAAAAGATGATTAAATATTATGGAAGTTACTTTCGTGAAGAATCTAGCAATATCTATCTTACATTGTTCTTTTATATTAGTAGTGAAAGTTTATTATTTTGATCGGTAGGAACCCTACTAAAACGATATATGTTTTGAGGGCACATGTATGCTCTACGAAAGGGCATATAGCCTAGTGGTTACAGTGACCTGAGTAGTACCCAAGGTTCTGAGTTCAAATCTTCTATGGAGCGAATTTCAGATTGGGTTGTTTGTGGGGCTAAGTTCCCTACTTCAATGGCCATATATATCAAAAATAAAAAAAATGTATGCTTGACTGAAATGTAACACAATATTGTGTTGCACAAATAAAACTAGTTAAGATTGATATTTCTGTTCAACAAAACAATAAAAAAAAGAGTGAAACTAGTGATTACTGATGCCGATCAACATGTTCAAGTTGCTCTCGACCGGTTGGCGGCAGAGCAACAGAAATTAAAGGAGGGCGAAACAGAAAAACACAAGTGAAGACGGGCTTCAATTATTTGACATCTTGACCCACTCTCATTCACCCAGATGATCCCACATGTTATTTTCACAAGTATCAATCAAAACAATTGAGCAAAGAAAAAAGTGTTAAATTATCAAATTTATCTAGAGAGAGAGGAGGTGGCGATCTGCAAATGTATGATTTTGAAGATGCAAAAGGAAACGATATGGTAATTGAACAACAAGAGGAAGACAACAAAGAAGAAGACGATGGTGATATCAAAAACTGATTAATTGATGTATTACCTGGAATCGATTCCGACATGGCCTCCCGGAGATTAATTGGGCAAGAAATCCTGGATCAGTAGAGTAGAACCAACCAGATCTCCATATGAATGAGATGAGATGAATTTGTGTGGAACTAGAGGCGAGGAATTCTCGTCTAGGGTTTCTTTTTTCTTTTCTTTTCTTTTCTTTTTTTTTTGACAAATAAGCAACGCAAAGAAAGGCACTCACATCCATCATGGTCTCATGGGCTGGGCCATCAGGCCCAATCCACTCCAATCACTTCCCTTCCATTCCACGACTTTACTGTTAGGAATAAGTTCACTTTAGGTCCCTTAGTTTGTCACCAGTCTGAAATTCATCCTGAGCGCCATATCAGGTATAACGCGTCCTTTAATTGGCAAAACAGTGTACCCGAGGCCCCAAGGAAGTATAGTATTCCCAGTTTCAGCAGACGTGGCAGCTGAATCATCATGGGACAAACATATCAGGGTAATTTAGTCTAAATAAAAAAAGAATTGGTGGACCCACATGCTAGGAGCATGTGCGACAAGGGATGATAGGATGCTGAGTCGTCGAACGGTTGAAGTCCTCGGTGACGCCCGCCGCGTGCGCCCAGTTCCTCTCCCGCCTGTAGGGAGAGAGGGGATGAGAGGGTTGTGGGGCAGGGGCTAGGCACCGCACAAGCTCCTCCTCTCCCGAAAGCGTGCCGCCGCATCCTTCCTCGTGCGCGAGGACGGCGGCCACACGCTGAAGGGCCCGCTCAACTCCTCTCTCGTCGACCACTAGCGCCCGCCGTGTGCCGCCCTTCTCCAGTTGGCTGTCACCCTGAAGGTTGGGAAAAGAGAGGAAGAGAGGATGACATCAGAGAGCATCGGTGGCGTGGGATCATGTGCTACGTGCGGTGCACAGGGCCACAAGGCACGGGTGGCAACAGTTGATCTCCTCCATCTCCAACTCCCGCACCATCGCCAACGTCGCCCGAGGCACCTTCCGACTCTACGACGCCACCTTCCGTGATGCGTGGAGAGGACTCCTCCCGGTGTTCTCTGTCATCAAGCTGGGGTGGTGGTGGGGACATCGCTTGGCGTGAAGTCAGGCCTGCTACCAGCCGCCTGCCGGATGATGCAGGACGCCTCCCATGTCCACTTAGTCCGCGCCCCCACTGTCCCAGGGCTGCCTTGGCCTGGTGAGGATGGCGAAGAGAGGGGAGAGAGAGAGAGGAGGAGAGAGGTTTCTACTAGCATGTGCGGGCCACATAGGTCCATGTTGACTCAGCACAGCATACCGGAGTTAAAGCGCCACGTGGAACTAAACTAGGAGCTATGCCGTCTTAGTACGAAAGTTGATACAGTCTTACGAGTTCGGCTACATGTTATACCTGTTATTGCATTTCAAGGATGAATTTTAGACTCTGCAACAAATTAAATTTTAGACTTTGGACGGCCACCGCATCCGAGGCATACGCCCCCAGGAATGTGTGCCACGCACACTGCTAGACATAGATTGTTTGTTGGATTTGTACGAGCATCTCGAAGATGTCAAAGATGAAGGCGTTCATGATTGCACAATTTGGAAGTGAAGCCTTTACTTGAATGCACCTGCTCTCTGCACCTTGAAGATTTAGATCTTGTATGTCTCGATATGTATCACTACGCCTCAGTAATCCGGAGGAATGAGGACCCCAGTTCCCATATCTCCGACACAGTCATATAGTCCTCTAGTTAAAAATTACCACTTATATATAATCGCTTGATCTCCCAAAAAGATCTCTCTATCAATGATCACCCTCAACTTTGGCTCGAAAATTTTGACAAAATGACCATTTTACAAAACTTATTTTAAAAATAGACCGTGTTAAAAACTAATTCTAAAAATGAACCATCAACTCAGCACCATTTATAGTGTCTTAGCACCAATGGGGTTGGCGTTGAGATATTGCCTGTGGTGTCACAAACGCCAAGTCATCCTAGCTCACCGCTGTGTAAGTGGCGCTGAGGTGTTGATACTATATACAAACGCATCGGCTAGTATTGTTAGCAAGTTCTAGTACCCTGGTGGCAGAGCACTTTTTTTTTTATTTTGTCTATTTTTTATTTTAAAAAGTCACAGCACTGTGAAATTTTTGGATAATATTGTCTACTGTTCTCCCCTTTTTTTATTTTGTCTATTTTTTATTTTAAAAAAGTCACATGTTCTGTTTAAATTTTATTGAAGTTTCAAATTTGAAAAGAAAAATGAAAGTTGAATTATAATACTAATCATAATAAAATATGTAACTCAACAAGTACATATTTGCATTTTTTTACTTGGAAGGAACATATTTGTATAATATTTTTCTAAATAAAATATTTAGCTTAACAGCTATAAATTTACATATTTTCGATCTTAACTTAGAAATAAAACAAACTTAGAAATCACGTGAACTTTCAAATGAAGTATATTTGTTGATGAAAAGAATTAATTATAATGTTCTCTCTTCATAGGAATGAAGTATATTATATATCCACTTCTCAATTTTTTATCAGGACATCAATTTATAGAAATTAATTTAAAAATTATATGATTTAAGTTTCCAAATTTGTTTGTCCAAATTTGTAGTGTTAGGATGAGTAATATTGATTTTTTATGAGACGGATGGAGTAATATTGATGTGACGCAAGTAGCTCAGATATGACCATTACTATCTTATTTATACATCAACCAAAGGTGCATATGTTCTATATTAGATTTATTTGTTATATATTTGAACAAACATTACTACACAATGAGTTTTGTGTGTTTTCCTTTGTAGAGGTACTTGCTTTGTGAAGGAAAAGAGACCGAGCGTAAGGAATGCATGGATGATCAAAGAAGTTGATTGGGGGGCAAACCAAGACCTTCTCCAAGTCCACTCTTACCTCACCACGTCAATTTTGGTCCATAAAAGGCAAGAGATAAAGTTCTACACGTTTTGGATTCGGATTCGGGCCACCTGACAGCATCAACTTCAAATGTACCTAGCCGCTGATTTAGAAGAAATTTAGGGGCCCATGAGTACTTGTTGGAAAGCTTATGAAATCTACTTTCATATGGTTTTGGTCCCACGTCAAAATTCCCACCGAGCTATATGGAATCTGCAAAACAAGCCACATATATCATCCAGTCGGAATCTGATTTGGGTTTTGGGCCTAATGTGTCATGGGCTAAGCCCAAAGGGGTGTGCGCCCTAGGGCAACCTTAGGACGTCCTAAATTATATTTATTCAATAGCCATCATAGTTTAAATTATATTTATTTTGCTTAGATTATTTCTGCCATTACAGTTTCACCGCTAGATTAGTTTGTAGAACCCCAAATTCAAGTGCTTAATCATTTATATGCAATTGAGTTGAAATCTATATTTTTTTTGCTTGTGTTGTTCGATTAACATGCAGAGATTAGACTTCTAAGCGAGGTCAACCGGGCAGTGCACGGTTGATAACTAGAGGAGATACGGTGCTACGATTGCAGAGTCCGGATCATGTTGATTGGAAGCCGGATCGTGTGTTTCAAGTTTCCACTAAATTGAGAGTTATCAATACCTATCGGAAGATCGGGACTAGTATCCTCATCAAACATATTTATTATCATATTTTTCTAATTTCAAAAATAAATTTATAGAGAAAAAGAAAAATAAGAAAATCTAAAAGTTGCAGAGGTGTGGGCAAAACTCCCCAGGGTTGTTGCTAAAGTCCTCCACCACCATACTAGCCTCGATACCATGTATAGAAAGGTTATAGTTTTATTTAATCTAGTGTGCCAATTAAAGTGGCGGTGAGCTAGGCTGAATTGTCGATTTTATACCACCTCGGATAATATCTAAGCGCCAACAGGCCGTTGGCACTAAGACACTATATTTCAGTGCTGAGATCACGGTTTATTTTTTAAGTTAATTTTTGGTTCTATTCTTAAAATAAGTTTTACATAAGGTGATTTTGCCAAATTTTCAGAACTTTGGCTACATGTATGCATGCTCATAATTAAAGTAAAGGAAATGCGACATCCAATCGATATGTTTAATCACATGACAGGTTACTTTAATTTCCTCTTGTAAGTATCGTTTTGACAGCAAAAGGAATATATGTTACCCCTTATGTCACTGCACATGTAATCCGACATCGTTCGAATCTAAAAAGAGATCCATCCTAATTAACGTACGGCCTCAAGAACCCTAGCTTAGGTCGTCGTCGTTGTCGTCGCGCGTCCTTACTCCCTTAGCCTTGCGATTAAGCTAACCTCTTTCCTCCATTAAATACCTCCACGTTCACAGCTTCATGCAAACCCTCGCGTTCCTCTCTCCTCCATCCACCTGTAAAGCTAAGCTTCTTCTTCATCCATGTCCTTATCCTAATCTCTCTCTCTCTCTCTCTCTCTCTCTCTAACTCTAAGCTTGTGGCTAAGCTCAAAGCTTTAGCTATATAGGGGTATATAAAACCACAGCCCTAGCTAAACAAAAATAGATTAATTAGCCAATTAAGTACGTGACACTCGAGCTCCATCATCACAAGCCTAGTTAGCTACTGCAACTAATTAACTTTCGTGTGTACAAAATGTCGCAGCTGCCGCCGCCGATGGCCGCCGCCGCCGCTGCGGTGGGCGTCGCCGACGGGGGGAGGACGAAGAAGCGGGCGGGGCTCCCGAGGCTGCTGCACAAGTTCTTCTTCAAGGTGCTGCGGCTGAGGCCGGCGGCGGCGGCGGCGGAGCCCGGCGCCGCCGCGTTCGAGGCCTACTACGGCTACCGGATGGTGGACGAGTACTACTACTACAGCTACGGCGGCGCCGCCGGGCCGGCGTCTTGGGCGGGCGTGCTCTCCTCCATCCCGGAGGAGGAGAGCTCCGACGAGGGCACGCCGGCCGCCGACGCCGCCACGCTCCGCAAGGCGCGCTCCGACTCCGACCAGTTCGTCGCCGCCGAGGCCGCCGCCGTCGCCGTAGTAGTAGTAAATTACCGCGGCGCAGCTAGCTGAGTGAGCTAAGCTTGCTATACTCAGCTCTATCCTCATCGCCGTCCGATCAGAAATCGACGGTCTGGATGAGGTCATGGACGTTTCAGATCATCTTCTGCACGCATCAACCCTCACTCACGCATCTCAAAGTTCATCGGACGGCTCCCGAGAATAGAGGCAGAAAGTGTTACATCTCAAGCCAGCATCGGATGGTCCGAATCTGCACTTGTGCAGTTTGCATGTATCAAAGATCAAATTTTTAGTCTTGTTGTTAATTAGTGACAAGATTTTAATTTGTGTAGCATAGAGATGTGTATATATATATACTTAAGTAGTAGATGATAGATAGGAAAAAAGGAAAAAAGAAAACTCTGTTATTTGAGAGTGAAAATAAGGTCACATGTAATTCGTCAAGGGGACAGTGATCACTCACGAGAAGGTAGTTGTGTAAAAAGGCAATAGTATTACTAACATTGTTGTGTCATTTTTGGGCAGCAGTAAAAGCTGCTGTCTTGTTGACATCACCAGTGATGTGTGTGGTTTTTCAACTTCTCAATACATGTACAGTAGCAGTGGCCAGAGTAGAGTATACATTGGTGTACTACTACTACTCTCTCTCTCTTGGCCGGTCACATGTTCACTTGTAACTTTTTCTTCCTGTATGGTTCTTACTGGTTGCTACAACAACTTTGGAGCTATCACAAAAGCAAACCTTTTCATTCATGTGTGTTGTTTGGGAAAGGAGACCTTTTTATATTTCCCTTTATTTTTTTCTTTTAAGAGTAAATTTCACAAAACTACATATACTTGGATCAAATTATCACGAAACTATAGATTTAAGAATATGTATCATAAAACTACAGATTTAGCGTCAATCTTTTCGCGGAACTACAAATTTAATGCACCATATCATAAAACTACAGATTTAGTAATGAAATTATCAAAGAACTACATATTCTAGAGTTTAGATCATAGCACTATTATTAATTTAAAGCTATAAATATGTAGTTTTGTGATAAAATTATTATTAAATCTATAGTTACGTGATATAATACCTTAAATCTGTAATTCCGTGATAAATTTGACACTAAATTTGTAATTTTTTGAAACACAATCTTAAATCTGTAGTTTTATACTCCCTCCGTCCCACAGTATAAGGGATTTTTGGTTTTTACATGTAACGTTTGACCACTCGTCTTATTCAAATTTTTTTGCAAATATAAAAAACGAAAAGTTGTGCTTAAAGTACGGTAGATAATAAAGTAAGTCACAAATAAAATAAATAATAATTTCAAAAAATTTTGAATAAGACGAGTAGTCAAACATTGCAAGTAAAAACTCAAAATTCCTTATATTATGGGACGGAGGGAGTAATAGTTAGATCAAAGTATTTGTAGTTTTGTGAAATCTACTCTTCTTTTAATAACTTAATTAATGGCTAAAGGTCAATATTTTCCCGTTTCACTTTCTCACGTGTTATTAGTTTCACATGATGTGTACTAGTTGTGTACGTTCAGATAATTTTGTGGTGATCCATTATATTGTAAGAGGTGTTGATCCACTTGTCAGCCGACAAGTAGATGGAGGTCAACTATGATTTTTAGATTTTTAAGAAAGTGGTTATTCTAAATTTGAAAGTAAAAGCGAAAATTTAGCATATGTGCTTAGCAACTTATTTTTTCCTTGTCATTGTTGTAGACAATTTTTTGTACCGTTGTCCAAAGTACGTAGTATATATAATATATTTGGTACAAGTGCTTAGTTCATTGTTGGATTCAAACATTCAAAACCAGAACGATTGATTTGCCCCTGTGGATTTTTCTTGAAAATTATAACCTAGCTTTTGGCATGCAGAGGCGCGGAGCCCAAGGAGGATTCTTGTGTTCCAAAGGAGTCTTGTTTTGAAAAAAGAGAATTGCTCTATATATACTGATGGGATATACTCCCTCCATTTCAAAATGATCTACATATAGTTTTTTAGGTTGTTCCTAAATGATCTACATAAGTCTATTCGTTATTTGTGCATTGGAGTAAATGGAAATTGATGCATGCATTCATGCATACAAGTATTTATAACCCACATGCAATATCTTGATTTGCTATTAGCTAGGAAATAGTGGTGATTGTGCTTGCATAGAGTTTGTTGCTAGAGTAAATATAGTATGAGGGAGTTATTAGTTTTTCTTGGTCTTGATGTACCTATGAAATATGTAGATCAATTTAGAATAGAGGGAGTATTTGCATTAAATTTAAATTAACATTGTTGTCATATCTAAATCCAGGCTCCACCAGACCACCACTGTTGGCATGGTAGCTTGCAACATGTAAACACCTACTCCATCCGCCCCATATTACAAGGATTTTAACTTTTGCTTACACTGTTTGGCCACTCGTCTTATTTAAAAAATTTCTGTAAATATAAAAAATAATAAGTTGTGTTTAAAGTACTTTGGATAATAAAGTAAGTCACAAATAAATTAAATAATACTAAATTTTTTTTGAATAAGATGAATGGTCAAACAGTGCAAGAAAAAAGTCAAAATCCATTATATTATGGGACGGAGGGGGTAGATCGCATTTATTTATTTTCCCTTTGCGAGGTACCTAGATCACATTTCCAAATTCATGCAAAAATACTAGCTAGTGACTCTCACGTGATTTTCGTAATATTGGCAGTTTGCCTAACAAAATTGCACTTGACAGTTGCTCAAACTGCCTACATTAATTTGGCAGTGAAAAGATGTAGTTGAAAACTCAACCTCGTTTAAGAGATATGAAACTGACAAATATCTAAGACTACCATTTTTCTTGTCTAAGAACAAGACAAGAATCAATGCTACTGTTTTTTCTTCACTGTTTGTTAATTTCATATCTTGCTAATGAAGTTGAGTTCTCTTTCATAATATTTATGATTCGGTTTCCATGGTTTTAGGGCACGGTTAGCAAAGACTCTAGCTCCTAGATTCATCTTTCTGAGATTTAACTCCTAGAGCTGGAGCCTGGAGCACAACAAATAGTTCAGATGTGACCAAAATTGGAATGGAGTGGGCTGGATCATTCCCATAAAATGAACTAGAGGGATAGATTTCGGTAGCTCCACTGCCCCACTCCTAACCAGATTAAAATGATACCCAGCTCTTTTCGTCGAATTTACAAGGAAATTGCCATCACACCCCTTCCAGTTTCACTTCTCCCGTTGGAGTTAGCTTGAAGTTAGGATATGAGTTTGAAGCTCTATCAGACAATTAATGCAGGCAGTGGTTTTTCCCATACATGAACTCTGTTTGCAAGAGGGCTAGGTGACCTTGGATTTTTCATTTGAGGCCTTGCGCGGAATAAGTTCACTTACCATCCCCCATCTTTACATCAAGTTTAATTTACATCCCTAATCGTAATACCAGAATAAACCTCAAACTTGCAAAACCGTTTAAAATTAAGTCCTCCGGCAGTATAGATGCATGATTTCCCTAGCGTGAAATTTGACCTGGTCCACTCCCGCTGACTAGATGCTTATGTGGCAACCTCACTCTCTTACCTTCTCTCTTCCTCTGCTTTCTCTCCCTCCTAAAGCCTAGGAGCGACGCTGACTACGGGCAGCGAGGAGGCTATGGTGGCAAGTGTTACAACGAAGTGGTGGCTACGAGGCGGCGAGGGCAGTTATTTTGATCCCCCATGACCGCCCAACACTATTCCAAACCAAGTTCATTGTTGCCATGGCTGCCATGGGCTGGTCCGACCTATCGTCGGAGCTCCTCTCTGAGATCGTTGGCAGTCTCATCAAGCTGGCGGATATCATGTGATTCCAATCGATCTGATCCTCTTGTCGGGCGGCAGCAGGTAGGGCGGCGGCTGCGATACCGTCGCAGTCGCCATGGTTGCTTCTCCCATCCTTCCCATCTCAGCTCTTCTTCTGCCCTTGCGAGGACTTGCGGAAGCTCGCTCTCATGGTGGAGTCCCACCACTCCATCGATCTCATTGACCTCTCTATATGTCCCTCCTCCGCCCCTTCACCGGCACCATCCACGTCGTCCTGCCGCTCCTGGCCTTCTTCACCGAGACGGATGACCTGGCCTGGGACTGGTCCCCGTACTGTAGGATCGAACAGCAAGAACAAAAACTTTTAGCAGAATTAAAAGTTATCCTCTAATCCGATGAAGATCGGTTTGACCGGAGTTGATCTGCTAGTCTGACCACGCCTATGCCACCGGTCTGATCGATGTTGATCGCCCGGTCTAACCACACCAAAGTGGCCTCTGCCTCCTGTCGCCGCCGGTGGTCTGACCGCCGTGTTCCCATCGGTCTGACTAGCACAATGACGTCGGTCTGACCGTCGGTGTCTCGTCGGTTGGACCACCGAACCTAGCAAACACAAATCGAAGATCTCTCAAAGTAGATTGCAACTTTATTACTTCTCTCTGTGATCACAAAGTGCAACAACAACACTCATCACAAAAATCTCGACTAAACTCGAAACTCTAACTTTTCTCTCAACTCAACTCTCTCTAAAGCGATACCGGGAGGCCTCACCCTTACTCTCTATTTATATCCGAGGTAGGCAGCCTAAAGCCATGAACCAAACTTGTACAAGAAGTCCTAATCCCCTAGGAAATCTTCTCGTACAAGAAACAAACTTTACAAACTCCAATTGTACCAAATTTAGACTTCTTTCAAATTCGACTCCGCATCCCATACGAACACAATATCTCCATCGTATGTCATATGGAATCTTCACCAACCACATGCATTGATCTTTAGCCTAAGCATCCCGCATGATATCCTGATCGTCCGGACGTTATCTTCTCCCAAGTTGACTCCTGATCCATCACCGGCAATACTCTCCCTAGGCATCAAGACCATCTACACATGCATCAACCAAGAAACCATATCTGAGCACTAGCTATCTCCAACTTGACTCATTGTTATCAAACAACAATATTACATACGCATAGTATCCATCTAGAAGTCATAAACATGAACTATCCACGGATATCCAACAAAACATCTCGAAATCGAAACCGATACAGAGTAACTGCATGCATACCTCAGGTCTGACCGGTTCTCACCTGTCAACAACAGTTCCAATAATCTCCAACACCACTTCACCAATAATATCCAAATATCAAAACAAATAATCTCATATGCCAATTGATTCACTACTAGAAAAATAATTTATCACCACGAAAAAAATCGTAGCATCAATGCTAAAATAGTGGCAATAGATTCATGTTGCTACAATCTTAAAATCGTTGCTAACCGTAGTAATAAATAGAGTAGTAATAGGTTATTGCAATGATTTTTATTTAGTTGTAATAAATTTTGATATTGTCATAAAATGGATGTGGCAAAAAATATATATTGCAACACTTCATATCGTTGCAATAAATAAATATTGCCATCACTCCATGTGTGGCATTAGTTCTACGTACCAAATTAAATGTTCCAATATTAATTTATCATCCTAACTATCTTTTTTTATATCTTCTCATGGCTGGGATTCAAACCCAAGATCTCTCCCTCACGCACGCTCTCCATTACCAACTCACCTACGCATCAATTTTGTTTAAAAATGCATATAATTCCATTTGAGCCTGCCTAACTGAAATTTGAATCATGAATTTGAATATTTAAAAGATTTCAAATGAAAACTTGAAGTTGTATATCTCGTCGAGAGCTATAAATTTCATATAAAATTTGTCCTAATCTGTGTCCATATGAAAAGAATAAGTCAAATTATGAGATGATAAATTTTTTATTGTAAAGAATTTGTTGATCATGGCAATAGAAATAGTGTAAAGTACCATATACTATGAAAATTGCCACAAAAATTAAATTTGTGACAATAGAACATGTTTTTTTGTGATGATAAATTTTTCATTTCCTATTTCAACAAAAATACTAAATAAAACAACGATCGTAGATCGTTGCAACAAAGTATAATTATTTGCCAAAAAATTATCATTGCGATAGTACAATATATTGCCACGAATTATTTTTCGTTATAATAAATTGGTGGCATCACGGCATCCTGCGGTGAGGGCATCCGACCCGCCCACCGCCGCTTGGCCCCCCATCGGCCATGGCCGGGGCGTCTAGACAGGCTGGAGTGGATGGGTCTGCTGCGGCAGGGATAGGGAGAGGCTGGCGGAAGGAACGCTGCTGATGTGCTGGAGGAGATCAGGAGTGAGGAAAGTGGAAGAGGTATTGTGGTTTTGGAAATTATAAACTCGAGTAAAGATGAGGGACTATAAGTGGACTTAGGCTGTGTTCGAGAGGAGGGGTTCACGCAAAACGATGTTCGCATTAACACGTGATTAATTAAGTATTAGCTATTTTTTTAAAAAATGGATCGATATAGAAAACATTTTGCAAAAAAAATACACCGTTAAGTAGTTTGAAAAACGTGCACGCGGAAAACGATGATGGAGAGTTGGTAACTCCCAGCCAAGAACGCAGCCTTATTCCTATCTGCACATCCCAAGGTGGGCTGGTGGGCTGGAATCCATAAGGTTACTGAATTCGGCCTTGTTGATTAAGCCTTGTCCGAACAGTACAAGGCTGGCCCATAACATGAATGCGCAGGACTAGATTTCAGCCTTGACAAAATTCAAGGCCTTCAGATTTCAGCCTAGATTTCAGTGGACTCATTTATGAAGTCGGTCTAGATTTCAGCCTTGACAAAAATTCAAGGCCTTCAGATTAGACTGGCGGATGAGCAGGAAATAATTCTCCCAAATTTTGTGTCGAACTGTGATCTCAAGAAACAGCTTTTCAGTTACGAATTTCAGTTAGCTTTTCAGTTAAGAATTTCAGTTACGATCAGAAATATTCCTTGCGTTATATATAACTTAAATGCCTTCTTTAAGAGATTAAGTAGTTTTGATTGAAATTCAATTATAGAATACCAATCTTGGTGACACAGCATCAAAACGAATTTTGATACGAGAATGTATGAAAATAAGCTGAAATTTCTCAAGCTTGCTGAGTTATAAAATTGAAGCAGAATACCCCAATCCATACGAAATGTTACGCCTAAACCAGACCAAACGCAACAGATAACTTCGCACCAATCACCAAAGCTACTGTTTTCTCCATTGGATTCAGAGAAGAGAATCCTCGTCAGCGTTAGGACCACCACCACCATCGCCATCCATGGCGACTAGGACGAGGCCGAGGAGGACGTACAGGGGGAGGCGTCGCCGCCGCCGCCGCCGCTGGCCGCCGCCTTGGTGTACTCCTCCATGTCCCTCTTGTACGCCGCCATGGCCTCCGCGGCCTTGCCGTTCCACGCCTGCTTCTCCGCCTCCCCGAGCTCCTTCCACTTCACCGACACGAGCGCGGTCAGCGTGGAGCTCGCCACGCCGGGGCGCTCCTCCGCCAGCTGCCGCCTCGCCTCCTTGCTGAACAGCAGGAACGACGACGCCGGCTTCTTGGGCCGGTTCGGGTCGGCGGCAGCGGCGGCGCCGCCCACCTTCTTCTTCCTCTGCTCCTCCTTGGTCTTCTTGATGATGTTGTCCGTCTTCTCCTTCTTCTTGAGCAGCTGGAGCGCCTCCTGCTTCATGATCTTCTTCTGCTCCTCCTCCTCTTTCTCCTGGCACGCCGCCTCCTCCTGCTTCCTCTGCCGGTACGCCGCCATCTCCACCTGGTACTCCTCCCTCTGCTTCCGCGCCGCCGCCTCGAACGGCGCCTTCTCCGCCTCGGACATCGCCTTCCACTCCTCGCCGGTGATCCTGCCGATCTCGGGGACGTTCTTCTTCTCGGCGACGAGCGCCGCGCGGCGCTGCTGGGTGTAGACGAAGTAGGCGGACATGGGCTGCTTCGGCTTTGAGGGGTCCTTCTCCTTCTTCTTCTTCTTCCCTTTCTTGCTCGCCTTCTTGTTGTCACCACCGTCGCCGTCGTCGTCGGCCTCCTGCCGGAACTTGAGATACTGCTCGAGCAGCTCCTTGGCGGTCCTCTGCATCTGCTCCTCCTCGAGCAGCTTCATCGCCTCGGCCTCGCGCTTCTCCTGCCCGACCACCTGCAGGTACGCCTCCTTCTCCTGCCTGTACCTCTCCTCGTACGGCTGCTTCTCCTCCGCGCCCAGCGCCTTCCACTTGGCTCCCAGAGCGTTGGAGACCTCCTTGAAGTCGGCGTCCGGGCTCTCCTTCTTGATCTGAAACAGGCAAGCATTTCGTCAAACATCTGACGGGCAGTAAAACGAAGCGAAGAAAATGGTGCGGGTTTCGTACCTCGTTCCACTGGTCCTTGCACCAGAGGACGTACGCCGGGCAGGGCTTCTTCCTCTCATGGCCGGCCTTGCCCTTGCCCTTCTTCTTCTCTCCTTCCTGGTCTTTCTCGATCAATGCCTTCACGAGAGGAATGCTCTGCAAGGCAAAACCAAATCGAATCAGATCAAAATTCACAAGAATAACCACGAAGAAAATGGATGCAGAAATCAGATCGTGGCTCAAATCGCGCAAGTTGAGATCGAGAGCATACCACGGTGGGCTTGAACTCCTTGGCGCGCTGGACCTTCTTGAGCTCGGCCTGGAGGCGACCCTGCTCCTCCTCCTTCCTGCGGATGACCTCGTCCCGCTCCCGCACCATCTCCTCCGCCTTCTCCTTCTCCAGCCGCAGCTCCTCCAGCATCCCCTGCAGCTCCGACACCGCGTCCACCACCGACGCCTGTTCCTCCGCCGCCGCCGCAGCCGCGGCCTTCCCCTTGCTGCTCTTCGACGTCGCCCTCTTCGCCTTCTGCGGCGGCGACAGGATCCCGGCGGCAGCGGCCACGTCGGCCTTCCCGGCGGAGATGTTAGCGTCGTTGTCCAGCACCGCCGTCAGCGCCTTCCGGCCCCTCCCGCCCTTCCTACTACCCGCCGTCGCCATGGAATCTAGCACAGAGAGAGACGAGCTAGGGTTTCGAATCGGAGGAGGAGATGGGAATGAATGGTCGGTGATCTGATTCGCGCGGGATTTTATAGAGGTCGAGGAGCGGAGGCAGCAACGGTCAGAATTTTTTGGAAATTTGAACGTCGGATAGAGTAAGGAAGGTGACGTCAGCGTAACGGCTAGTCGCGAGAGTCACTGGCAGGTGGGGTCCACGCGGGGTTGGGACTTGGGAGAGATCCACGCGGAAGGGATCGGACCGTTGCCGGAGGTGGGGCCGGGTTGTCAGCGGCGAGGTATCCGTGGACCTGTTCACACGGGTGATGTGGCGCGGATTATTCCATTCCATTCAAGCCGATCGAGTGTGAAGTGAACGGCTGTGATTGCGGCGGGAGGAGCGGAAGGGAAAGCAATCGACGGGTGGGATCCCGCGTGTCCGGGTGTTAGTGATCTGGGCCAAGCCTAATGGGTCAAATTTGGAAGTCAACCGGCCCAAGGGCCCAAGGGTGAAGAGACAGGAGTTGTTTATGGCCTTTTAGCCCGGCAAGGGAGATGTCCTAATTTTGTGAAATTTAGCCCACTATTTGATTGGAAACGGTTCAAATTTAACACATGTTACAGCTCCATACCCAAATGGAGCTAGAACCCAACTAAATAGTTTTCAGCTCCATCTAGAGGTCCAACCAAACGGTTTCAGCTCCACCAAAAAAGACAGCTCCACAACTTCACTCTACACCCTATTTCTAAAGTTAAATTTAAAAGTTACCCTAATTGAGTAGAATCCTACGAAACAAACCCAACTCTAGATCCAAAGTTCTTCTTAAGATCAAGTTATTTCTGCCTTGAAATATTCCTGAAGACTATTAGGGTGATGCATTTTCTACATATTTTAGAATAAAATAAGAGGATCGGGCCACTTTAATATTTCAGTAATCTACAAAATCCATTGTGTACAAAAATCCAGTAAACGGAGCAAATATCAAATAGCCATTCCAAGCAAAAAGAACTGTTATAAAGTTTGGCCAAATTTAACTGGTCAAAAACCAATTGACATTTTTTATATATACTTCCAGCATGGCCCGGTTTCATAGCACAAAACAAACTTCACATTGCAAAATTTCCATTGGATAATTTTTCAGACAAGCACCAGTCAAAGCAACCACAGATTATACATCTCAGATCATGAGACCACGCAAACAGACGGCTGGACAATCAACAACCAACAAGCATCAAAGCATTTCGCAGAAGAACCGAAACAGCATCCAAAATGGGGTCTTGAATTCTACAGTTGTGCCGAAGAATCACTGATCTCAAGGGATGATTCTGGGGACTCTCATGCCAAATCCGCGCTTCATTTTCTCGACGCTGTTTACAGAGATCAGTTGTAAGTAGAACTTCGAAGTAAGAAACAGAGGGTGGTTCACTTCAAAGAAATAAATAACTTGAGGTAGCATTGCATATAAAATGCACAAGAAAGGCCCCAACGTCACGAAACATTTCCTGATAATATTAAGTTATATAACCATATAGATTTAGATTGCATCTTTCTCGATGTTCCCAGCTCAACGATCGATATTTGGCACATTTTGCATCTCTATGTTAACCCATGAAAGTAATCATCAGCAATAGGAGCTTTCTTAGAGGTGGCAATATTTCTCTATTAAAAATGATATGCCTGTTTGTCTTTATTCGATGACTTTAAGATCTTTCAATAGCAAGTACTAAAATGGGGAACGGCATGTTTCACTTTGTCCGCTACCACATTACAAAACTATACGAACATGACTTCTCTTTCCATGGTTTATAGGCCTTCTTGTTTCTAAGTTACACTATAGCAGATAAGCTAGTGACAAAAACCCAAAACATGCAATGGTATAATACATTCACCAGCCAAGCAAATACTCAGAAGAAATGAATTTTCTGACAGCAGCTCTACAATGATTGAAACAGTGATTACTAAATGCGCATTAGAATTTTGAAGTACAATGGCATTATTTGATGTTGTTAAGTTACTTACGTTGGTGCAAGTTTGCCGAGACAATACAGCTCCTCACCAGAGACTTCATCCGACACTTTACCGGACATCTCAACTCTGTATGATCTACCGGGAGAATCTGGGAGTCCTCGACCCACAAGTAAATCCAAATCCTTCTGGTGAAGTTCTCTCCCATTAACAAATACACCTGTATTTCCAGCAGCGCATTTCTTGGGCATAGGATAATTGAGTTCTGGAATATATGGCTGCAGCATAGACATTCAGCCAAAAACTTTGATCAAAACATATCAGGGTAAGACAAACATATCAGCTACACTGTAATTGCTCTTACCGGTATCATGCCGAGGCAAGACTGTCCCATTACACCCCAGAAACCAGCACGGTAATCATACCTAAACAATAGGACATAAGAACAAAATGTCATTGCCAATGGTGCTGACAGTATTTAGTAATATTTAAAACTAAAATATGTCTAAACTGATCGGAGGCAAACAGAAGTTGCAGGCTTACCAGTATTCACCAGGATAGATTGGTCCAGCTATCTTCTCAGCCTTCCTGACCGCCCGATCAGAGATGGGATAGCCATTAATGAAAACCTTTGCTCTGCCATTGCCCATTCCGTTGTTAATTTTGAAGCTCTTCTTTATGAGATTGGTGAAAAATGAATCACCCGTTTTCACGGCCCGAGGGTGATCTACAGGTTGTGCCACATCACCTCGATCTTGCATGTAGTCAGGATCATCATACTCATCATCCGACAAGTCCATTATGTTCACTACTGATACATCTTTTACAGTGTTCTGCTTGAAACTTTCTGTCAACACAGCCTTCTCATGTTCAGATCGAGTACTTCTGCTTCCTTTCCCTGATCCATCAACTACCTTCTCAGATGGCGAGTATCCAAAATGATCACGAAGATGTAAACTTGGAACACGGGTAGACACCTCAGCTTCAGGATGAAGATCCCTAGACCCAGGGGTGTCCCTCTGGGAATTAGATCTCGCAGGGCTGTTCTCATCTTCAGAAATGCTGCAAGAAGACGATATCCCTTGCATTTTTTCAGCTTCACTTGAGTTCGAGGGTAGGTCTTGAGAACCATGACTTGCTGCAGAAAAACTATAAAGTGGAAGCACCCTCTCATGTGGAGCAGAATTCGCATTGCTTCCTTGGCCATCATTGGAACTAATTTTGCTGCCGCCAGATATGTGTGAAATAGGTGAAGGTGCTGAAACATCAAGCCTGCTTCCATCAAGCTTGACCACAAGCGCATGTGAGCATGACCCGCAACGTAATTTGTACTCATCCTTCCCTGGCACGGGGGATTTCTTCGGAAGTTGCAGTACTTCATAGCAGTTGTAGCATATAGTGAATGGGGCACCACATGCAATCGGTTCACAAGTCTGTGCAGGTTTTTTACTCATAGCGGCCCTCATGTGATTGCGCTGCATTGAAGCGTTGACTCTTGAATTGTAATTCTGTGTGCCAAACATTGCAGGACCATCAACCGGGTAAACTCTAGGATTATTCATAACATACGGTGGTACCCTGCGATGGTTGAAACCCAGAGGAGGCCCCTGAACAGGTAAGAACTCACGGTGGTAGCAATGTAGACAAGAACAGGCAGGCTGATGGTAGAAGCCATCATGGTGGTAAGAGATCAGAGGGTCAGGATCATACTGTCCATAAAAATAATTATCAAAATTTCTCCATGGATATGTGCCAACAGGATAGCTTGGAGCCCCCATGTGTGCCATTGGCTCCCCGTATCCATGAAGATCTTGCTGAGCAGTTCCTGGAGCATAAGCTTGCGGAATGCAAGGAGCTTGCCCATTCAAGGATGGTGACTGCTGAGAACCACTCCGCTGCAACTGAGGTGAACCATGTCGTAACCGACTCAACCGCTCACGAGGATTATATAACCCTGAGGCATCCACCGCTTTATCTGTAGAAGTACTTCCACTTGGCTTGTTGGTGATCTCACAGGATCTCTGCACCTGATCCCTCAGCTCATCAAGCATCCGTAACAGATCAGCACGGTCTTTTTCAAGACCATTGACTCTGTTTAGGCCCTCCAAATTTCTCATATCAGCTTGCTCACCATTGGTATGTCTGAATCTTGACTTAATATGGTAGTCAGACGGGCCTTCTGCAGGATATGCATTCGGAGGGATGGCATCAACAACTGATCTTGGCGATCTGTCTCTGGCTCTCACTGTGTGTTTTGCTTCTCCTTTGTCCTCACTGCGGATGCGCCGGTACTTGGCCTCCCGAATTTCCCTGCTGTCATCTCTAAGTGAAGCCTCAAGCTTCAAGGCATTTGGTTCTCTTGGAATTCGGCTATCATCACAAGCTGCCATTCTGTCAAGAAGTACCTGTCTCTCTTCTGCTTTAGCTTCTCCATTTTTGGCTTCTCCTTCTTGGGCAGCCTCACAAGTGTCTTTAGATGCAGCTCCTTTGTTATCTGGTGAACTCTCCAGCACTTCAAGGTACTTCACATGTCCACCATCAGATTTCTCTGAGGAATTCTCAGATGCTGAGTTCTTCTTTGCTGCAAAATGGACCATAAATGCAGTAAAATATTACTTTCGGATATTGCAACTTTAATGTAAATTTTGACTAAATATGCAGATTGAAAAGATTTCAAAAAACCCTTGAAAGATAGAGAGAATTTAATGCAACTGATTCTGTAGACTATCTGTACAAAAAAAAAGTAGACTTTCAAGTACACACTTAATTCTTGCATGACATCAATCCTACGGATGAGCAGCTAATACGAAAATGCACTTGATAATATAACATGAGAACTGAATGAAAAATAGCACCAAGTGAATTGTTCAAAATAATTACTAGCTAAATTCCATTTCATATTTTAAAAGGGCTTACAACTTTAACTGAAAAAAAAACAAACATTAGGGCCGGGAAAATTCAACATGTTTCAGCGTTTAAAATTTGGGGACAACAAACCCCCCCCCAAAAAAAAAAAGGAGACAAATTCCCAGAATGATTAGTTAAATTTCACCACGAAGGATGTGTTATAATCTCATTGGCGTCAACCGACAGAAATGCATGATTCTCAAGTAACCAAACCAGCATGTTAATGCAGGGTAAAATAAAGCTTTCATGTAGAGTAAATAGAATTTTCGAAAAAAAATTGTTTTGTGAAGCTAGCCCGTTGCATAAACCCACTAATACTCCGTATCAAACATTATTAACCAGTTGGGAAGAGCTTACAAACACATGAACATTCTCGTCCGGACCGAAACACAAAAATAAATAAACAAATTCGCCCCACAAGATAACTGGGCTTTGAAGCCACGGCCTGAAAATAAATAAGTAAATTAAACGTAGGGATGCAAAGCTACTGCTACTACTACTACTAGTAGTACCAAACATGCTCTTGTACATGCATCGATTGCGTCAAACAATGCTAATCAAATCAAGCACACAACAAGGGAAGAAAACCCAATGCAAAGCCAATAGGAGAGCGAGCAGAACCGCCGAAATGGCTGAAGCCAAAGAGGCGCGCTAAAAAAAAAGAAATGGAACCTTTACCGTGTGGAAGCAAACAAAATTGAGTCTCAAACTCCGCGTGCATATATATATACCAAAACAAAGCAAGAAAATCGATGGCGAACAACCTGATTTCATCACGAACCTTCAGTGACAAAAAAAAATAATACAAACATTTCACCACATCAACAGTTAATTAATCAGGGCACCCACAATGGTTATGTATAGGCTCTCTATAAGAGATCCATGTCAGTATATTTTCCTACTTGGAAGAGATTAAATGGAGAGAGAGAGAGCAAAGCTATCTACTAACCTGGAGATAGTCTATAGAGAAAAACGAGACAATGTATTAGAGAGTTATAGATACCCATGTAGACATACTATTGAGATGGTTTACTATTAATCTAGTCTAGATAGCACCTTATTTTACCATTGCGGGTGCTCTCAAAGGAGAGAAACAAACCGAAAAGCGAGATCAATGGCGAATGAGAAGGGAACAGTTAGGTGCAACGCGAAGAACAGAGAGAGAGAGAGAGAGAGGGAGGGGAAAGAAGAGAAGGGAGGAGGACCTTGGAGAGTGGCGCCGCATCCGCCGCAGACGTAGACGGAGTAGTTGGGGAGCTCCGGCAAGAACTTCTCGCACTTGGGGCACCGCACCACCCGTATCTGCTGCTGCCGCCGCTGCCCCTCCTCCCCCTCCATATCTCCCAATGCCTCCATACCGCCGGTGCCGTTTGCCTGCCCCCAAGAACGGCGAGCAACGGTGGCCAGCCCAAACAACACGGAGACGCCGACGCCACAACCAAGAACCAAGAAGAGAGTCGGCCGGGCAAATGCAAAGCTTCCCCTCTTGCCTTGATTCTTGGGGGTTTCGCCCTCGCCGCCTTTTGTCTTTGCCGCTCTCACTCTCTCACCGATTCTCTTTGCTACAGTACTCTCTCTCTCTCTCTCCGTCACTGTCGCAACTCGCAAGCAAAGAAAAGAGCAAAGGAAGGAAAGGAAAAAGAAAGGGAAATTGCTGCTGGCGATGGTGGTGCAGAAGAAGAATAGAGATGGTTAGTTTATTATGGGGGGGAGAGGAGGAGGATCAACCACACGGTACTTGTTCAGGCAGCTCAACCACACTCTGCTTTTATGGTATCCGGGCTTGTTTTTCTTGGGTAGCTAGGTCGGCCGTACGAAGGCATCGTGTTGTTGTGCTCTCTCTTTGCTCCAAAGGTGGTCGTCCACCTTGGACCAAACTATGCACAGCATATGCATCTCATCAGGTCGAGTATTCCTCATTATATACTAACTAGGAGGGTAGCCCGCGCGAATGCGTGGGCATGTATTATACACAAGATTAAACTTTTGGTCTGAAATTTTAAACAAAATTTAGTTGAATTTAAACAAATATTACCAAAATTCATGAAAAAAATTCGGCTGAAATAATATCGTATCGGAGGGGTCCGAAATGACCAAAATTTCCAACCATGATTGTACATTGCATTTGAAATATATATATATATATATATATATATATATATATATATATATATATATATATATATATATATATATATAACAGAATATCAATCGGCTGACACCTCCCATGTTTAAAAGTTTGAATAAGACACATCAGGTGAAGCCTCCGCTGGTCTTCGGCATTTTTCTTCGATATTTTTTCCAAGATATTTGTTAGGTTTAAAATATATCATATTTATTACATATGTATAAATAATTATCTATGATCTCTTTATTATATAAAAGGAAGTTCGATTTAGTTTGTTTGGAAAACATGTCTAACAAATCAAGTGTAAATTAGAAGTAAGTTGTTTGGCCCCTTTTTTAATAGAATTTTTACTTGTTTTTTTACAAATTCTAAAGAACTATATTGTTAATAAATATGTTTTATTTGTACCATCAAGTAGTTCTCCTTCTAGTAGGTTTAAGTTGATGCAAGTTGTTGCAAGTTGTTACATACTTACATATAAATTAATAAAGACATGTCATATTTCTCGCTACCTTCTGATTTGTGCGATCTATACTATCTTTTTTTAAAAGAATATACCTAGTTAACATGAATCTAAAATTTTAAATTTAATAGTAACAAATATAAGTTTTCAAAGAACTATATATTGCGAACCTTAGTGCGGTTTATATATGTAATAATATGTGGAGAAATATAGGATAGGTGTAAGGCCATTAATGAATAAGCGTTTTAAAATTGTTATGAAAATGGAATATGCAATGGTTGGTCAAATTTTAGTGAAATGTAAGAACCCAATTTTTTACGAACTTATTACATTTTCTATTACCTGCTTTATTTTAAATTTTATACCAGTTCAAAATATAGGCTTTTTGGATCTTTAAATCATTGCTTTAATTATAAATACAACAATATTTAGGTTAGAAATCAGATGCATAGCTTGAAATTTATGCATGTTTTAATATTTTTGATTACTTTTGGCTATATAAACAGGAAGGGGTAGAGTAGAGAGCTCAAGCCGAGAAGGGATGTGACGAGTAGTGTCGTGTTGTGCTTATGTTTTGGGGGAGGGCGAAGTGAAGGGGTGTTTTTTTCTTTTATATCTAAATGATTTAAGTAAAACCGATGATCTATTTTTTTCTCAATTTTTTTGTTATTTTTTCTAATTTTTAAGACGTGACACATTGCGGCTTAAGATTTTCTAAAAAGTATATATATTGGTTGAAAATAATGGATCTACCTATTTAAGTGAAAACTAATGGTCAGATTATTTTTCTTCCAATTTGTAAGGTTTTATTCTTATTTAAGGCTTAACACGTGACGCCTTAAGTGTGCTCAGAGGATGTACAATAATTTATAATAATATAATACTTATTTTCATTTTATATTATGGTCTGTCTTTTTTCTATTTGGTTACCATGCAAAGGAACAGTGTCTATGTTTAAATCATGTATTTTCATTTTTATAGAGTGAAATATGGGTAACATGGATCTTAAATTATCTATTTAATTATAAATAAAGCAAAAATTCAAATAGCTAACATTATGATTTAACTTAAGAATTATAACCATTTGGCTTTCTAATTATTGATATTTTTTTACTTAATTAAGAATTAGGAGACAAAGAAATTAAATGAGTGAGGAGAGGAAGAGAGAGTTGAAGGGAAGAGATTGCGCGTGCATATAATTGTAATAATTATTTTTACCGGGTTGTAGTGTTTTAGTTGCAGTTACTTTTTTAACTAAAAATTGAAAAAAGATATATTGATTGATTAAAATATATCCTTTTTACTTGTCTTTTCCAGTATATTCATAGTAGCTATTAAAAATACGAATACTACAATCTAATAATAATGTTATTTTGACTTATTCTAATGTTATAATGGGGGAGTAGCTTTTTAAAGCATTCCTTAGAGTTAGGTTTATTTTACTTTTTTCTATATAGATCTAATTTAATTATTCCAAAGAAATATATGGTGATAAAATCTATACCATTATCTTTCTATAATTTTATGATTGTTCAAATGGCACACAAAAAATAAGAAAATATAGCCCCAAAGTGACATATTTCTTCTCAAAGTCGATATTACAGTGGATATGGGTCTTTAAATGTAAAATAATCTAAAGACATAAGTTCATGAAATATTAGTTGTGTGAGTTAAATGTTATAATTTCTTATTTTTTGCATAAGTTTTGCTTTCTAACTAACATATTTTGGAAACATTACTCATAGTATATTCATTTTACTTTTATGATTGTAGACCTAATTTAATTATTATGAAGTTATGTATGATGATAAAATCTATATTATTATCATTATTTTATATGTTTTTATAATTGCTTGAATGGCATGCAAAAGTCAGGAAATCTAAACCAAAATGGCATTTTTTTTGAAAGCTAAATTGTAGTGAAATATGGTCTTCAACTATAAATTTAGTTATAAATAATCTAAAGATTTACGTGGATCAGAAATTAGTTGTATGATTTAGAAGCTTAATTGTTTAACACAAAATTATTGTTTATCTAACTAATAAGGCATGAAAATAGGAGAAGGAATAGGTGAAAAGTGGAGAAATGAATTGAAGGAAGAGGAGGCGTACATACGTACGTTTGTTTTTGTCAAAAAAGTAACTTATACATACAGGCTTAGGTGGGCCTGGGTTTAGAAGAGGAATTTTTTCTAGAAAATTAATCTAATTGTTGTAAATAATGGGTCCACCAAATTTAATGAAAATATGTTTTGTTATTTTAGAATTTTTAAGAATTTCACTAATTTATTAGAGTATCACATGGCAACTTAGAAGCGTTTATAGGATGTCGTATGGTGAATTAGGAGCATTTTTTGGAAGTTTAATGGACTTTTAGACATCTAACCTAATGTTCTAAAATATTAATCGGGTCCACCAATTTAAATGAAAATCGATGGTGATATTTATGTAAATTTATAGAGTAATATGTTTTATCATTAAATAATATTAAATCCTATTTTAAATATCATCAATTTTTTTCCAATGATACTAAGTATGGATGTTTTTATATAAGCCAACAAATCATCGAAGTAGAAGTAATCGGTTGGAACAAATTTATTTCATTTGCGCATATTTGTTTGTTTCTTTTGCAATGTATTTAATTTCAAATACGACAGCAATAATACAAATTTTTTTATCAAGAGTAGGTTTTCTCATGTGGTTCCAATAAGTTAATTTTGTATTATCTGATCTCTTGATTTAAGCAAATTAAAAACATAATTGATGTTTAACAGAAATATTTTGGATTGGCCTATTATTTTTTTCAATCCAAATCTGCTTATTAAATGTTAATCAGATATATTATATAATACTCTAATAGCATCGTAGGGTTTCATCTAGTTCTTCTTCACAATATAGTAGCTTAATAGTTATAATCGAATTGAAGCGTCTCACACCAAGCCACCATGACATTCCTTGCAGCCACATGCGAGCTACTTGGCCCGCGTTCATCATTGTTCACGTACAGACGGACAGACGGACGTACGTAAGTACGTAGGAGGTGGTGGGGCTAGGGGAGAGGTGGGATTCAAATTTAATCTAATGTTCTAAAATATCGGGTCCACCAATTTAAGTAAAAATGGACGGTTAGATTTGATAGAGCCACGTGGCGGCCTAAGAACATTCGTAGGAGCACTACGTGGCGGCTTGAGAGCGTTTGTAGGAAGTTTAATGGACTTTTAGTACATAATAATAGATAGATAGATAGATTATATACTTCCTTCGTTTCACAATGTAAGACTTTCTAGCATTGTCCACCTTCATATAGATGCTAATGAATCTATATATATAATAATGTCTAGATTAATTAGCATCTATATGAATGTGGGCAATGCTGAAAAGTCTTACATTGTGAAACGGAGGGAGTAGAAGTACTAGTACTCTACTCCCTCCGTCTTCAAATATAATTATTTTTAGACTTCGACACGGTATTCGAGATACTACATTGACCAACAATATCTACAAAAGTGAGATGTTATAGAACTCTATAAAAGAACTGTTAGACCCGTCCGCGTTGCTCTCCCCAGGGTGACACGGACGGTGACCAGCGCCCGCCGCCGCCACCCTCCTCCCTTCTCTCCCCCGCCTCGCCGTCGCCTGAGCGGCTGCCAGCAAAGATGGCGGCCGTTAGGACAGCGGCGGCGAGGCTTCTTCTCCCTCGGCGGCGTTGGATGGCTGGGGACCAAGCCGCGTCCCGGAGGTGGAGTCGTCGCCGCGCCGCCCAGATCCGGGCCTCCATGGCTGGATCCGGACGGGGAGAGGCTAGCGAGCGCCGGTGGAGGCGCTGGCGAGGCGGTAGGCAGCGGGGGAGGCGAGGACCTGACGGCGGCGGTGGAAGTGGAGAAGGAAAGGCGACGAGGAGAACACGGTGGTGGGGTCGTCGCGGCGGCTGCCGGCGGATCTGGCGACTGGCGTCCTACTGGCCAGATCCGGCGCCCTCTTCTGGCGAGGGAGGCCATCTCCCCGTGTGCCAGCGAGAAGAGGAGCTCCGGCTCGGCATGCGATGAAGGGGCAGGCGGCGGAGGTGGCCCTCGGCGACGGCGTCAGGCATAGGGAGTCCAGCCTGTGAGGCTCGCGTCTACGGCAGTGAGT